GTTTCCATGGGGGTCCCTCAAAACAAGGGTTTGGTGGCTGGGCTGGTCCCGCCTCTGGCCCATCTCCAAACTCAGAGCCCCTCCCAGGGGGACTGTAGGCCTACCTGGGGGAGGGGTGCTGCCCCTCCCAGCCTCCTCTGGGTTCTCCCTGGGCCTCTGGGTAGAAGGTTCTCGGCTGCAGGGTGGGTGGAAGTGTTAGATTCAACGGCTCCCCTGGGAACAGAGGCTGGCGCTGTCCTCCGTGCTGGGCCATTGGAGCCGCGCCAGGACCCACCGCACTGGCAAGACCCCAGGCAGCAGCCTCTCCCGTCCTGGCCAGGGTCAGTCCCTCCCGCCACTGGGGAGCCCGAGTCTGGGGACGGAGGGACTGCTTGGGCTTTAGGGGGCTGGGGACTGAGATTCTGACATGGCCCCTTCCTGCCCAAGGTCCCCACCCCCTGGCACTGGGTTCCTGTCCCTCCGCGCGCCGCTGCCCCTTGGCTCAGCAAGGGCGCCCGCTCCTCTGACCGGTCCGCCTTCTGCCCAGGCCCAGGGCCTCTCCCTGCGATGCCCCCTTGGCCCAGTAGGCCCTTTCTGCCTGTTGAAGGCAGGGCCAGCCCTTCCCTGGCCCCGGGCTGCTGGCACCCAGCCAGGGCCTGGCATGCTGGGTGCTCACAACTTCCCGTCCAAAAGCCCCTGCCTGCCCTCGGCACTGAGGCCATAGACCCTGCCCTGCTGCCTCTGTCCCCGTCGGACCCCGCTGGTGACCACTCTCCCAGCTCAGCATCTCTGGTCCAGGGGACTGTCCTGGGCAGGCATCGCCATGACACCTGGAGGCAGCAGGGAGTCCCCAGGCCAGCTGGGGTGTCTGCTCCCCTGGTGGGTGCTCGCCCAGGACGTGGGGTGTTGGAGCCCTGCCCGCCTGGACATGCCCAGTTAAGCCCCTCCCCAGGTACGACACGGCCCCGGTGGCTCCTTAGAGGTCATCTTTGTCACTGTCCTCCAGCCTGGGCTGCCTGTGGATAGACGTCACTCGCCCAGGGAGCCGGCTCTGCCCTCCTGGCGCCCAGGGGGACCTCGAGGACCCTCCTGCTCTGGTCCTCCCCAGGCACCCATCTGGGCTCAGTGGGGCGGGTCCTGCCGGGCGAGCGGACCCGCAGAGGCCAGTGTCCCACGCAGGCCTATGCAGTCTGGGCACGCGGAGGCAGGACAAGGTCCCCAGGCCAGGAGGCAAGCCCCAAGTCTCCAGGCCCCCAGGAAGGGCCCACGGCTGGCACCTGTGAGCTTCTCTGATGGGAAACCAGTGGGCTGGTCCAGCAAGGCCCAGAGGCCAGCGGGGGACCGTGCTGGGGGGAGCAGCTCCGTCCTGTCCCCCGTGGCTCCCACACCCACCCCAGGCCAGGAGGTCAAGCTGGGTCACGGTGGGCAAGGCCAGGGGAGGGCACGAGGCCCCATAAGGCCCAGCAATCAGCAGCAGACTCGGCCATGGGCCCCAGATCGCCCCTGCGGCCCCGAGTCCCCGCGGCACCCCTCCTGCCCGTCGGTGGCCCAGAGAGCAGCTCAGGGTTCCGAGTGCAGCCACCAGCCCAGCACCACCTGGGCCAGGGGAGAAGGTGCATGTGGGTGTCCACCTCCATGGGGGGCAGGCCCAGCCCTGCCTGGAGCCTGAGGCCCCTGCACCCCCGCCCCACCCCCCAGCCCTGGGCGGCCGCTCGCCCGGCAGGAAGGCAGCGTCGGAGGAGGGCCTGTGCCTCAGTGCGCAGATGATGGGCACACGTGCTGAGTGTGAGCATGTTCTGGGGGGACGCCAGGGGAGCCCCTCTTGGGCCGTGCAGTAAGGGTTACCCCTCGGTCGGGAGTGGCCCTCACCCTCAGTGCCATCTGTCCGGTGCCCAGGGCCTCCCCGGAGCCCGCCCGGTAGACGGAGGCACGGGAGTGTTGGGGCCCCGCCGGCCGACAGCGTGGAGCTGAGGGCACTGACCGCAGGGGGCGGAGCGCGTGGCATCCTGCAGGTGCTCCTGGCCGGGGCGGAGGCCGGCCGAGGGCTGCCTGGGGCGGGCAGGTGGGCACCGAGGGCGGTGCCCCTGCACCAAGCCGGACTCCAGAGGGGCCCCAGGAGCTGGGGGGCGGGGCGGACGAGACGAGGCCTGGTGTGGGGCCCCCTGGCGCGGCCGACTTCCACCCAAACGGGACCCCCGCCGAACAAACGAGGCCGGAAGGGTGGTGGTGGATTTTAAACGCTCATATTTTGTTTGTTTCTCCTCCCGCCGTCTCCTCTTTTCCACGACTCGCATGGTGGTCACCGGGCCCCGCGGCCAAGGCAGCAGGACGATCGCGTCCGGACGTGATTTCGAGTCCGTTTCGGGAGGCGGGCGGGGACAGCCCGGAGGGAAGGTCCGTGCAGGGGCACCACCAGCCTGTGCCGTGTCCCCGGAGCCCCCGCCTCGGCTCCGGCCCAGCTGCTTCCGAGAACACCCCCCTGCGCCCCAGAGCAGAAAGAGAACAAGTCCCCCCCACACCCTATCATCCAAGTATACATGACGGATAAAATTACATTTGTACAAAAATAGATTTTTTTAACCTTTCCCGATGCTTTAGACATTTCTCATCTTACTCTCTGCGGCCCCTCGAAGCGCAGCGGCGCCCCTGCTAAGGCTGAGGGTTCGCTCCGAAGCATCTCAGAATAGATGCCTCTCCTGCCCGAGTCTCACCCGATTCCACCAGAGGGACCCCGGGCACTGCTCACGCGAAGCAAATGTACAGGAAAAGGGGAAAGTCCGAGTTAAACATAAACACAAAGCGCTGGGAACCGTGCGCGGCGGACGGTGCGGCTCCCTGCGGGCGCTCTGGGCAGCACACACCACGCCAGTCCTGCGTGGGCCGGGCCCAGGCCACGCCGAGTTCCGTGGGGGGACAGCAGCTGGCGACCACTCGTGCGGCCGGTGGGCCAGGCCCTGCCAGGGCCCCGCAGAGGGTGAGCCTCCACGCTCGCTGCCAGCCCGAATCCTGCGGGGACGCCGACGGAAAACCCAGGGGCGGGCCACCATCCTGCAGACCTCACGCTTCCGGTGACACGGGCCATCTCTGAGCGTCCCCACGGGCCAGCCTCCACGGGTGGGTGAGGCAAGCTGGCTTTGCCGACACCTTGCAAACCCAGGACGCGGTCATCTCCGATCCTCAGCCACAAGCCGGTCTGGATGTCAACGTGGGAGGTGACTGTGGAGGGGCTGGCGGGAGGCGCCCCAGCCAGAGCCCAGGTGTCCGGCGGGCTGCAGCAGGGACGGCACAGGGCGGCTCGAGAGCTGATGTTAGTGCTATCTTTAGAAAATTAAAGATTGTCCCACCAATAGAATAACAATTACCAAGACGTCACCGTGACTGGACCAGACTGGTAACACTACTGAAGATCTGGTTAAGTAGGAACTCTACCCTCTCGGGAGGGGCGCACCGTCCCGCCCCCTCGGCTGACTGGGCAGCTCCCCAGGCCCGGGGCTGGTGGGAGGAAGCGGGGTGGTGGGGGAGGCTGAGCAGGACAGGGGCTTCCGGCTAAGGAGGTGGTGGCCTGGGGGCCTCAGTGCTTTAGACAGCCAGCCAGGGCCGGCCAGGGTGACGTTTCCAAGAGACCGACCGCCAACGGAGGCTCCCACGTGAGTCTCCTCCTTTGGGGCCCCCACACCCCGAGGCCCAGAAGAGCAGGAGGGAGCTGGGCATGGGCAACGGGGTGCGTCTGGCTGCAGAAGGCACCAGGGGTATTGGGTGAGGGGCAGCCTAATATTCCCGTGACGGGGGGTGGGATCCCCAAAAGGGAATGCCTGCATCACTGCCCATCACAGCCGTGCCCCGACGGCTGCCAAGACTTCTGGGAAGAGTGGGGGGAGGGCAGCTGGGCAGCCCCCGGCCCGCCTCAGACAGTGGACAGGGCAGTGCCCGAGGCGGGGTGGCCAGTCAGCCTCGGCCAGGGTGTGACGCTCAGCTCGGGCGGGGGCTCTGGAAGGTGGAGAACATAACACACCGGTCCAGGGCTGCTGTGGGGGTGCAGGAGGGACACCCTCGCAGAGCACACCCTCGGGCTGACAGACAGGACCCCGCCCGCACCCCCACACCCTCCGCACTCAGGCCCCCACTGCTGGTCCGTGGGGTATGCGGTGTTCAGGGGGAAAGCGAGGCGGAGGGAGGGGTCGCAGTGCAAGAGGCCAGTTCAACCTGAGAGCCCCCCACTGAGCGCCCCCCGCTGGGCTGGCCGGGGCGCTTCCACCACACCAGGTGTTGAATGGGGCTCCCACGTACGGCTCCATCACAGACAACAGCCAGCCGCCGGCTGTTCCCAGGGGCGTCCAGCCGGCCAGAGGAGCCTGGCGCCCAGAGGTTTCTGTCCAAGAGTCAGACCAGCCCGAGAGCCCGCTGCGCCCCTCCCCCAGTGATGTCCCGCAAGTCCCTCTGGCTCCCTCCCAATGTGCACAGCGACCGAAGACCCTCTGGGAAAGCAGCTTCCTCCCCGCATCCCTGTGGGCCCCCCAGGGGAGGGGCTCTGCCCAGAGGAGGCCTGAGCCAGCGGGCACGGCTGGCCTTGGCCCCTCCAGACTGAAAGAGAAACCTTGGTTCGCGCAGAGGCCACTGCGCAGGTTAGGCAGGGCCACAGGGGCGGGGGAACCATGCAGAGAAGCCGGTGGGTGGGCGGCCGCAGTCCCTGCAGCCCGAGGTGGCCCCAAAGCCCTGCACACAGGTTGGCTCCGTGTGGCTGGCCCAGGGCAAGTCATCTTTGGAAAAGGGGTGTGCACCCTTCACTCGAGGGGAGAGGCCTGCTTGCCCGAGCCCATCTTCCGGGGCAGTGGGTGGGGTCTTCGACAGGGAGACCGCCCGTCCCCCACCTGCCCCCTCCCAGGACTGTGGGTGGGCCAGCTGTCTTCTTCCAGACAGAGCTGCACAGACTCGAACCCACAGCAAAGCCACCTTCCCGACTGCCGCGCCCCAGGCCCGGGCCCAGGCCCCGGGAGCCGCCCACGGGCCTGCCAGGGGTCACACAGTTCTTGCCGCTCCTGCTGCCGCCCTGGGAAAGCACTGCCCTCCTGGGTCCAAAGACAAGCAGCACTGAAAACAACGGGGTGGCAACACATCTCTTAGGCTTAGCAGGGACAGGCTGCGCCCCAACGTCCAAACAGGCCGGGCAGAGGGGGCGGGGGTGGGGCTCGGCCAGGCGGGCGGCCGGCCGGCCGGGGCCTAAGTCATTTGATGCGGGGCCTCCAGCATCTCCATGAGGAAGGTGTCGATGGGCGTGTCCCCGATGAGCTTGAAGAAGAAGAGGTGCTCCAGGCACTTGAGGCCGATGGACCGCAGGGCCGGCAGGCGCAGCAGCAGCTTGGCGAACCTGGGGGCGGGGCGCGGGTGCGGCTGGTGGTCACCCTCCCTGCTCCGGGACGGGCCCACCTCACGCCAGTCCCCCAGCCTTCCTGAGACCTGCCTGGGCGGACCTTATAGGAGAGAGGAGGGGCCCAGGAGTGGAAACAGCAGGCAGGGCCTAGAGGCAGGAGCTCGGGGGGGGGGGGGGGGCGCACCGAGACCCTGGAAGGAAGGGCCGGAGGTGGGACGGTGGGCAGGCGGGGGCAGGCTGACGGGCTTCGTGGGGAATTTAAAATACTTGGGCTTTCACCAGGCGGTGTGGCTGAGTGGCTGAGCGTCGACCCCGCACCAGGAGGTCGCCAGTTCAACACCGGGTCAGGGCACTTGCCCAGGTTGTGGGCCCGATCCCCAGTGGGGGGCCTGCAGGAGGCGGCCAATCCATGTTTTCTCTCATCGATGTTTCTATCTCTCTCTCCCTCACCCTCCCTCTCTAAAGTCAATAAAGAAAAAAAATTCTTTTTTAAATAAATAAAATACTCAAGCTTTCCCCAGCGGCAATAGGGAGCCACAGCAAGATTTTACACGGGGAGGAGGGCTGTGAGAATCAGCAATGCTGCTGCTTCAGAGGGGAGACCCAGGTGGAGGAGCTGGTCCTGAGCTGGGAAGAGGGCTGTGCTGGAGCTGAGGAATTTCACCAGGGAGCCCTGGGTGGGGGAGCGGAGGGGAGCAGTTTGGGGGTTCTCGGAGAAGAAACATTGTCTAGGGACACCCCCATCCCCCCGGCCCCTCCGGGCCACCTGGGTCTCTCCCCTCGGACACTGGAAGGGTGCAGGGCTGTGGGACCTCATGACATATGAAGGTCTGTGTTTTAGGGGGCCCGTGGTTGGCTGCCACATGACCTGCATTTTCTAGGCAGAAAGCGCAGCCTGGAGCCTGGAGGGGCCGGAGAGCCAGCTGCTTTTGGCCGAGCTGACCCGACAGCCGCAGCAGGTGCCAGGAACAGCCGGCCTGCCACCCACCCCAGCCTCGGCCTCCATCCGGGAGTGTGTGCACCCGCTGGGGGCCCGGAGAGGGAGGTCTGCTGTCCTGGACCCCCACCGGGTGTCCTTTCGGGGGGAGGGGGTACGGTGCAGACAAAGCTGAGCGGGCTCCCTTCGCCTGACACCCACCGCGCCCCACCCGTCCAGGCTCTGCTCTGGGGCAGCCCCTCTCCTCTGCCTGCTCCCCCGAGGCTGGGGGCGGGGCCTCCTCGGCGCCCACCCCCCCACGAGCAGAAGGTGGGCTGTGCCAGGGGCCAGCCTGGCGATGGGCTCCAGGGCGTGGGTGCCCCGGGCTGCCCTGGACCCGAGGGGCGCCGCCTGCCCGGGGCAGGAGCAGGGGCAGGGGCGGGGGCGGGGGCGGGGGCGGGGGAGGGGCCAGGGCGGGGCAGGGCGGAGCAGGGGCGGGGCGGGGCCGGGCTCACCTCCCGGGCTGCTCTGGGTACTTGTGCTTGCAGTACGCCTCCAGGGACGCGTAGACCTTCTCCCGCAACGCCTCCACTTCGGCCGGGTTCGAGAGCCCCTTGGAGTCTGCAAGGGAGACGGGGCCTCCGGTCAGCCCTCACCTGGGAAGGTGCCCTCCACGCAGTCCCACGAGAGGGCAGGCTGGTCTCCCGGACGGAGCCCGGACTGCCCGGAGCCCGGACCCGGGAAGCTCCCGGGAGCCTGTCCTTCCTGGACCCCAGGATTCCAGTCCAAGGCGCCAGCGTTGGAGGGCAGAACCCAGAAGGCCGCCGAGGCCTCGCCAACTGCGCAGGAGGAGCCGGCTCAGAGCCCCCCGCGGGCACAGGCCGCCCGGCACCCCCCGCACAGGGCCAGAGGAGGGGCGCGCGGGGCGTACCCGGGTTGAAGAGGACGATGGCGCGCAGGCAGCCCAGCTCCGTCTTGTCCATGTGCATGTCCCGCATCTTGGACACCAGCTCCGTCAGGACCCTGCGCAGGAAGCAGCGGCGCCAAGGCCACGTCAGACTGTGCCTCGTGGGGCCCTCTGGAAACACCCACAGGACTCGGGGGCCCAGTGTGGCCCCGGGGGGCAGCTACGCAGGGCAGGGCCACCCGGGAGCTGCCACGCCAGGCCTGTCCCCTCCTCCCAGCCAGCACAGTGGACCAGGGGGGCCTGCACGCCGGCCTGAGCCCAGGCTATCCTGTGGGTCTGCAGGCTGGGGAGGGACATCCTTGCAGCCCAGAAAAAGGTCAAGGGATGGGGTACAAGAGATGTGTACCCCATGCAGCCTCTGAGGCACCTGCACGTGGGCAGGGGTCGTGCTGCAGAGAGACGGGGCACAGCGCTCACACGAAGGCCAACAGAAAGCTGGGCCTCCCCCTGTGGCTCAGGACCCCAGGGACACAACTTGAGCGGTGCCTCTGTCCTGGTCACCTCTCTAGCAGCGGGGACCACTGAGCCGTCAGCCAGGTGCGTGGCTGGGCTGCCCTAAAGAAGGCTCCTGTAGACGAGAAACGCCGCACCCGCAGCCTCCATGGTGGCACCGCCCTACATCAGCGTGTTCAAGGCCCTGAGAAGTCCTGCAGCTAAGACACATCCATGCACTGTTTAAACCAGCACCTGCCCACGGTACGTGGCCACACCTTCTTGTACTTGGAACATCCCCGGGGTTCAAGGACCTGCTCCTTCATTGTATGACCCGCCCACAGGGCAGCATGCTTCCTGCCACTATTCCCCCAACCCTGATGTGTGGGTGAGAGTGGGGGCCGCTGTTCACCCGCAACCGCAGTGTCCATTCTCAGGGGCTCCCCTTGGACCCTTCCCCTTGGCCCGCCTCTCCCCACTACTCCTGTGCTACAGCCCCCAGGCCCGTCCAAGGGACCCTGTGACAACCCTCCCAGCTCACAGACAAAGCCAGCCCTGCTCCTGGTGAGCGACCTGGATGAAACAGGCCGCCAGGCCCTGGCGTGGGCCTGCCCCACACTCGACCACCCTGGGTGTGCTGAGAGTGGCCGAGGTGCAGGCAGGTGGTGAGCCGCCCCGGGCACCAGGAGCAGTGGCCGAAACACCGCTCGGGGACAGCGCCCCGCTCAGGACACTTGCGGCCGTGACGTGTTCCGGTCAGCGGCACGACTCGGGCACAGTGGACCTGACGGACCCAGCGAGGCCGTACCTACGAACAACCTACTTCTGCTTCTTAGAGAAGCAGCTCCCCTTCCCACACGGGACTGGAGAAGGGCTGGAAGGGCAGACCAGAGCGCCGGCTGCGGCTGCGAGGACCCCGGTGCTGGACGGGCGCGGGATCTAACCTTCACCCTGCGCTTCTCTCTGCGCCCCACTTTCCGGCCCCCGTGAACAGAGCAACGCCCCACCTGTCGAAGATGGCGCCCACCCCCGCGCTGTGGGCGCTGTTCCGGTGCACGTGCAGCCCGGTGGCGAGCAGGATCCCGTCCTTCACGGCGATGGACCGGTGGGAGAAGGAGGCGATGAGCAGCTCATTCCAGCCTGGTGGAGGGACAGGCGTCAGTCTGCTGGCCCGGGGCCGCTGGCCACCCTTCCCATCAGCCCCGCCCCTTCGAAGGCAGTGTGCACTATCACAGACCCAACCCAAGCTAGGGTTCCAAAAGTGGGCTCCGTGGAACCCGGGCCCCATGAGTGTTCCCCAGGAAGGAGGTTCCTGAGCACCTGTTTGGGAAATGGCATTCTTCTCTAGTGCACACTGGTACAGTAAAGGCCCTGAGAAGTCCTGCATATACACCTGTGGCTGTTGAATCCAGGCACCCAGATTCGGTTGCCCGGGGAAGTCTCTTTTTGCAAGTGCACAACGCTTGAGCCACGGAACTCCTAGGAGTGCCCACCAGTCTGACAACCACGGGACAGTGGCTGCCAGTCTGGTCCCAACAGCAAACTCTCAGAGATCAGCGTGTGCTACGTGGAAGCCACAAAACAGCCAACCACTGATCTGAACGAGGGGTGTCAGAGCCACAGGCCAACTCGGCGCTCTCGTCACATGAGCAGAGGAACCAGAGCAGGTGTCCATGGGTGGGGAAAAGGTGGGAAAGAAACCTGAGACCACTTCTGCTGTGAACGAATCACAGGGGGCAGCCTCCGTCAGCGCAGCGAGCCCAGCCTGCTCCCAAGCAAGCAGGGGAGGTTCCGGCTTCACCGCTGCCTGTCACATGGCCCACGCCCCGTAACCCTGACCACAGCCCCAGTGCCCGGGTCAGCCCCCTTTTACGGGGGACTGAGGCCCAGGAGAGGGCTGCCCTGGGAGCACGGCCCCCCAGGCCCGGCCACGCACCTGCCCTCAGCAAGATGACCTGGTCGTCCAGCGGCAGCTCGGAGAAGTGCGGGACCCGCTTGGCCCACTCCACCAGCGTGAAGAGCTGCTTGTCCGCCGCCTGGCAGATGTTGGTGACGGGGTCGTTGGGCTGCGTGAGAAAGGGCACCTCGGTGAGGGCACACGAGAACCAGCCGGACCCGCAGAGCTGCGTGTGCCCCCGACATCCACGGCCGAACCCCCGGAACCTGTGACCACGGGACCTTCCACGGCCGAAGGGACTTTGCAGACATGACCAGGTTAAGGATCTGAGATGGGCGGTGACCCTGGACGACAGGAGGGGCCCAGTGTCATCACAGGGGACCTCACAGAGGCAGGCGCGAGTCAGAGTCGGGAGATGTGAGGACGGAGCAGAGGTCGGAGGAGGGAAGCTGGAGGGAGGGGCCTCGAGCCCCGGAGGGTGAGGCTGTGGTCCTGGGGAAGGATGGAAGTGATGCCCCCAGAGGGACTGGCTTGCAGGGGGCCCGGTCTGCAGGGGGACCAGCCCGCAGGGGGACCGGCCCACAGAGGGACCGGCCCGCAGGGGGACCGGCCCACAGAGGGACCGGCCCGCAGGGGCACCGGCCCACAGAGGGACCGGCCCGCAGGGGGACCGGTCTGCAAGGGGCCTGCTCAGCTGACCCGCCTTCCACCCTGTGGGGCTGGTCTCAGGCTCTGACCCTGACAACTGTGAGGCACTGAGACAGGTGTTTTCAGCGCCGTTTGTGGTCACGCGGCTACAGCTGCCGCAGGGGCACCCAGCCGTGACTTGGGTCCCACTGCACGGGCAGAGGGAGGGGCAGCTGAGGCCCTCTGGACAGTGCCAGCCAGAAGGGATTCCCCAGTCGTTCTGGCTGATGAGGAGCCCAGGCAGGCCTCAGGGCTGCCTGCTCCCAGCTCCAGGCATGTGGGGCTGGGCGGGCACACAGCCCTCTGGGTCCCCGAGCCGGGGGGCGGGGTCGTGCACCTGGGAGACAGGAAATCCCTCCCTCTGGAGCCCACAATGGCCGGCGCTCCTCTGAAGAGCCCCTGGCGGAAACCATCTGCCCCCAGCCTCGCGGTCTGGACGCCGGGCTGGACGGAGGGCCCGCAGTGCTGCCACCAACCGGCTCGGGCCAGCAGGCCGAGCAGCGCAGAGCGGGGACCCGGAGCAGCCAGGGCTTCCGGGACAACACGGTCAGAGCAGCCCGAGGACCCCGGGAGGGCCGGGCAGCGCACAGCGGGGACCCGGAGCAGCCAGGGCTTCCGGGACAACACGGTCAGAGCAGCCCGAGGACCCCGGGAGGGCCGGGCAGCGCACAGCGGGGACCCGGAGCAGCCAGGGCTTCCGGGACAACACGGTCAGAGCAGCCCGAGGACCCCGGGAGGGCTGGGCAGCGCAGAGCGGGGACCCGGAGCAGCCAGGGCTTCCGGGACAACACGGTCAGAGCAGCCCGAGGACCCCGGGAGGGCTGGGCAGCGCACCAGCCCGGGGGTGACCCTGCAGCCGCCCTCCCAGGAACCCCTCAGCTCCAGGGTCCTCCTCGGCTCTCCTGCAGGCCGCTGGGCCCCGACTCCGCAGGCCCACACCCTGCACCACATGCCTGCCCGGCACCCCAGCAGACACTCACCCGCACCCCTCAGATCAGGGACCCGACCGAGAGCCCCGAGAGAGGCTGGCCTGCCCGGGACCCGGTTCCGGCGACAAGCCAGCAGCTGGGGGGGCCAGAGGCCAGGCGGGCACCAGGGGAGCCCCCTTCTGGATGGAGTGTCTCCCTCCTGCCCGCGCTGTGCGGGCTGTACCCCTTGCCTCTCCACAAAGAGCAGCCCACGAAGTGGGAGCCCAGGTGGTGGACAGGGGCCCGGGGAGCCATGCAAGGAGGCAGCGGGGGTGGGGCAGGGCTGATTCGAACCCCGACCGAAGCCCCAGGGAACAGGCCGTGTCCCGGCCACTGGCCAGCAGCCCCCAGAGCCCTCGAGGGGATGAGCTGGCACCCTGGGCACTCGTGGGCCGGGGCCTCGCAGGTGACTCGTCCGCTGGGACCGGGATGGGTGGAGACCGGATGGGGCAGGGGCTGTGGGCCATGTGACCTGCATGGGAGGTACAGGGCTGGGCGGGGGGGAGGGGGCTCCCTATGGGGCGGGGGCTGGGAGGGGTCCAGCTGTGGCCTCCAGCCAACACCCAGCTTCTCATGGGCCTCAACAACACAGGTTTAATGAGCTCCCGGTGCCCTGTGGGAGGCCCATCCTGTCCTAGGAGACAGCAGGACCCCTGGCAGAGGCCGGGCCCCCCCCCCCCCATGGCTCAGGAGGCACCAGCTGCGGGAAGGGGCCTAACGGGCCGCCTGGAGGGGGACCCAGGCCCACCCACCAGGAGCTGCAGCGCGAGGTGGGACACGAGAGGCAGGTGCGTGCCCTTCGTGGGATCCCTGCACCCGCCAGCCGCCTGCCTGCGGCCTCCACCACCTCCCTCCGAAACCACGGGAGCAGATGCCAGATCTGTGCTCGAGTGTCCTCGCTCGACAGAATCACTCGTCGGCTGCCCTTTCCGCTCTCCCGGTTTTTGCTTTTTGGAGTTTCTGCTCGCTCAGGAGGCCCTCACAGCGGCCTCCCTCCCTCACTGGGACCGGACGGTGGGCCCGGGGAGGGCTGGGCGGCCGAGGCCTCACGGAGCAGGAAGCAGCCTGCTGGAGCCGCGTGGGCAGATCGGAGGGGACCCCCACTCCTGGACTGGGGCTGGGCCATGTGTGAGCACCACCCGCAGAGGGGTCGCTGTCCCTGGCCGGAGGTGGGCAGCGAGGAGCAGCTGGTGCCACCCCAGCCCCGTGGCGACGAGGGAGAATGCACCACCACGCTGTCACCACGTGCCAGGGGCCGTGACGGGAAGATCGGGGCGGAGCCCACCTAACAGGGCGAGGCCCACCTTAGCAGGGCGTGAGGGGGACCCCAGGGAAAGGGGCTCCCTGAGGAAGTGACACCTTAGCTGAGATAGAAGCCTGAGGAGTCAGCAAGGGCAGCATGGGCAAAGGCCCTGGGGTTGGGGTGAAGGACAGCAGGGTGAGTCTGGGCCACTGAGGGAGATGCCAGGGTAACCTTAGGGTAGGCCTGGATGACCTCAGGGTCAGCCTCAGAGCTCTGGTCCCAGCCCTGAACCCACAGGGGAGACACGTGGTGCCGCCCACAAAGCGAGGGCGGACACAGGATTCCCACAACCGGCTGGACGATGGACGGGAGACACGAAGCATGAAGGTCAGGGTCACGTCCTCGCTTCACCTTGGGGATCAGAGCCACGCACCCCACGGCACGGCGCTCAGCAGGGTGGGCCCCGAGCAGCACCGGCCCTTGCCGCCTCGGTGGGAGGCCATGTGGGCGGGCGGCACTCACCGAGCTGGGGTTCAGCCCCATGTTGGCCTCCACGTAGGTCTCCGTCTTGGGCTCGACGGCCAGCTCGGCCTCCAGGATCTTCTCCACCGGCATGTCCTCGTTGGCACTGCTCGTGGACTCCACCTCGTTCTCGTTCCGGTCCTTGCCCCGCTGCCGCTCCTCCTGCACGGCTGGGACAGAGCACACCCACCTCACTGACCCACTCAGCGACGGCCACGCCAGCCACCGCCTGTCCTCCACGGCTGGGACCAGAGCACACCCGCCTCACCGATCCACTCAGCGACGGCCACGCCAGCCACCGCCTGTCCTCCACGGCTGGGACCAGAGCACACCCGCCTCACCGATCCACTCAGCGACGGCCACACCAGCCACAGCCTGTCCTCCACGGCTGGGACCAGAGCACACCCGCCTCACCGATCCACTCAGCGACGGCCACGCCAGCCACCGCCTGTCCTCCTGCACGGCTGGGACCAGAGCACACCCGCCTCACCAATCCACTCAGCGACGGCCACGCCAGCCACCGCCTGTCCTCCTGCACGGCTGGGACCAGAGCACACCCGCCTCACCAATCCACTCAGCGACGGCCACGCCAGCCACAGCCTGTCCTCCACGGCTGGGACCAGAGCACACCCGCCTCACCAACCCACTCAGCGACGGCCACACCAGCCACGGCGACAGCCTTTCCTCCTGCACAGCTGGGACACGGAGCACACCCGCCTCACCGATCCACTCAGCGACGGCCACACCAGCCACGGCGACGGCCTGTCCTCCTGCACGGCTGGGACACAGAGCACACCCGCCTCACTGACCCACTCAGCGACGGCCACGCCAGCCACCGCCTGTCCTCCACGGCTGGGACAGAGCACACCCGCCTCACTCACCCACTCAGCGACGGCCACGCCAGCCACCACCTGTCCTCCACGGCTGGGACAGAGCACACCCGCCTCACTGACCCACTCAGCGACGGCCACGCCAGCCACCGCCTGTCCTCCACGGCTGGGACAGAGCACACCCGCCTCACTGACCCACTCAGCAACGGCCACACCAGCCACAGCCTGTCCTCCACGGCTGGGACAGAGCACACCCGCCTCACTGACCCACTCAGCGACGGCCACACCAGCCACAGCCTGTCCTCCACGGCTGGGACCAGAGCACACCCGCCTCACCGATCCACTCAGCGACGGCCACGCCAGCCACAGCCTGTCCTCCTGCACGGCTGGGACAGAGCACACCCGCCTCACTGACCCACTCAGCGACGGCCACGCCAGCCACCGCCTGTCCTCCACGGCTGGGACCAGAGCACACCCGCCTCACCGACCCACTCAGCGACGGCCACGCCAGCCACCGCCTGTCCTCCACGGCTGGGACAGAGCACACCCGCCTCACCGACCCACTCAGCGACGGCCACGCCAGCCATGGTGACAGCCTGTCCTCCTGCACAGCTGGGGCCCAGAGCACACCCGCCTCACCGATCCACTCAGCGACGGCCATGCCAGCCATGGTGACAGCCTGTCCTCCTGCACAGCTGGGACACAGAGCACACCCGCCTCACCGATCCACTCAGTGACGGCCACGCCAGCCACCGCTTGTCCTCCACGGCTGGGATCAGAGCACACCCGCCTCACCGATCCACTCAGTGACGGCCACGCCAGCCACCGCTTGTCCTCCACGGCTGGGATCAGAGCACACCCGCCTCACCGATCCACTCAGCGACGGCCACGCCAGCCACAGCCTGTCCTGCACGGCTGGGACACAGAGCACACCTGCCTCACCGATCCACTCAACGACAGCCACGACAGCCACGGCGACGGCCTGTCCTCGGGGAGTCAGCAGCTCAGCAGAGACCCCAGCACGGACACAGAAGGGCTCTGATGGGCCACGACTCAGGAGAAGCAGGGAGGTGGGTGCAGGCACAGGAGGGCCCTGCAGAGGCCCAGAGCAGAGGCGTATGGAGGACGAACAGTGGGAAGTCGGGAGGTGGCCCAGCTCCTAGGAGCCCAGGAAGAAAAGCCACTGGGGGGAGGTGGAGAAGGGATTCTCTTCAGCTCTGCCCCCAGAACGACCCACGTGGCAGAAAGTCAAGGGGCCGGAGCACGCCACACGGGGTGTTTGAGACCTCTGCCTTCAGAACCATGCCGCTCGAGCTGCTCCCCGAGGGGCCGGGGCTCCCTGGGTCACCCAGCAGGCCCGACAACAGCAGCCAGAGCCAGGCCACCACCCAGCACACCCGGGGGAGCCTGGGCTCCACCCCCTCCGCTCTGGTGGGGGCAAGAAGGACGTTAAGCGGGTGGGGGGGGAGGCCACGGCCAGCGGGGCTGCCCACAGAGCACCGTCACAGCCCGAGCGGCTGGCGCGTCATGGCCGTGCCCTCAGGGACGCCCCGGGGCCACGTGCGGCAGGAGCAATGCTGGCCTTGCGGCCCTCCCCCAGCCCACCCTCCTGTGCTCCTGCTCTGCTGAGCCAGAGACCTGTCCGCAGACTCCGGGGGTACCCATGGCTTCCTCAGGGCTGGCTCCTCAGCCCCCACCCCAGACAAGAACCTCGGCTTCGCGGGGCCTCCGGGGACCCCCCACTGGGAGCTTGGGGGAAACGCCCGTGCACAGGCCCAGCCCGCTGCGGGAAGGGCCTGGAAACCTCCCTGCTCAAGCCCAGGGCAGCGGACCCGGGAGGGCCGAGGCAGGCAGAGCTGGGCCGCCTCCTGGGGCAACGCCCTGGGCCACAGGCTCCGGTAGGAGATGGGGAGACCGTCCTGAGCTAGGGGGGCCTCAGGCCAGGCTTGGGTCCCCCATAGCATCCTAGGGGCGTGGGTGGCTCGCTCCTGCAGGGAACACCGGGGCCATAAGGACGGGGCGGTGTGGGCAGCTGCTGGCACTCGGGAGGGGTGGGAGGTGGCCGAGGGCCGCCATGCTCCGCGGGACCGACCCCCCAACCCCGCCAGAGTCGTGCCCTCTCAGACCCCTGGATTCCACACGCCCCCAGCCCACCCTGCTTGAACCCACCTCCCTGGGGGCCATCCTGCTACCCAGAGGCACAGGAGCGCAGCCCCGAGTCCCCGAGGGCAGCACCCATCAGCTCCCGCCAGGGGCCCGCTCAGATGGGCTCACTCCCACACCTGCTGCGCTCTGCACACAGCCGGCCGCCCAGCAGCCCTGGCGGGCTCAGCGTGGGCCTCCCAAGGACACCCACACCCCACATGCCACCGCCTCGCCCCCTGGACCGGCCTCTCCCTACTCCTGGCCCACCCCAGGTTCACGGCCCAGAGCCAGCTCGGAGCCCCCTCCCTGCCAAGGCTCAGTGCCTCCCGGGCTCCCGGGCTCTCTTGCCCCCTGGGCCTCGGACAGGTTCTCCCGCCCCTCCGTGGATGCAGTCACGGGCAGACACAGCCCCCGTCCTCACGGACCCTGGCTGTCACCGGACCACGTCCGTCCAGACCCACCCTGCCCTGGCGGCCAGGGCCCAAGCTCAGGGCAGCCTCTCCCGGCCCTGTGCCCCTGGCTTCCGCATGGGCTCGGGGACACTGGGAATCAGGACAGAGTTCGGGAGGAGGGGGAGGTGTCCCAGCAGCCACGGTTCCCGGCGAGCAGCCCACGTTCCACACTCCCCGAGGCGTAGGGTATGCGGGCTCCCTGCCTCGTGCTGGGGATCCCCCAGGCTGCTGGGTCCCCCTCACTCCGCCCAGAGCTGCTGTGGTCCCGTTAACACCTCTCCACCACCCAGAGCCCGTGCCAGGCCCCGCCGCCAGCCGCGCAGAGATGCTGGGACCCGTCTGTGCCCCTCTCCGGGCCGCGGGCTCCCTGAGGGCAGGCCCGGTGTCCTCCCTGCAGACAGGGCACCCAGAGCTGCCCCATGCCGGGGGCTGTGCCCTCCAAGGCCCAGAGGGCTGACTTGGTGAGGGCCTTTCTGTCCACGTGGTCACACTCAACGACCTTCACGGGCGCCAGCTGGGCCAAGGAGCCAGGCAGAGGCCTCGTGGCCACGTTTTTGCAAGCCTGGCTCTTCTGGAAAATCCGACAGCAGGTGTGGGCTGGGGGAGCTCAAGCTGGCAGGCAGATGGCAAGGAGCCTCCAGGACTGCGGAGGCCGCTGCCCCAGCCCCCCCACGCCCCCCGCCAGGCCCCCTCCACGGGGTCACGAGCCAGCAAGGCAGACGAGGCAGGAGGAAGCTACACACACTGACTGGGCCAGCGTTCAGGGTGATGGGGACCCAGCACCCAGGCAGGCCCACATCCCTGAGACCCGGGATGGGTCCCCAAGGTCTGACCCTGGGCAGAACCCTGAACCCTCAGAGGCAGGACGCAGCTGAGAAGCACAGGGCTCAGCTCAGCCAGCTCACTGTACCAGGCGGGGAAACTGAGGCTGGCAGCAGGGGCCGAGCTCTCAGGACAGCGGGAGGCTGAGAGCAGCCGGCTCGGAGGCAGACAGCCGTCCCCAGACCCTGCTCCCCTCCCAGCTGCGTGGCCCCGGCTCGGTCTTCAGGCTGGGCCCACGAGGAGGTGCCCGGAGATGCTCCCCCAGGCCGGCAGGGAGCCCCTCCCTCTGCAGACAGCCCAGGGCGCAGGGAGCGGGCCGCCTCCTGGGGGCAGCAGGAACCGAGCGGCGTAATGTCACTTCTCGCGGGCGGCAGAGGGGGCGGCAGAGAGCTGCCAGGCGGCCACCTAGACAGACAGTCCTGTTCCCCCTGATCCGCAGGTGCCAGGCAGCCGCGGGCAGGAGGCGGCTGGGAAGATGGGGTCCTGAGCACAGGGGGCAGAGGAGGCAGGGAAGACCCTCCACGGCAGCCAAACACAGCCTGGGAGGGGGACTTAACCCCCAACACAACAGGGTCCCGTGGGCGGGACGGGAGTAGCAGCCCCTCGGCCAGAGCATGACACCCCGCCCTGCCGCAGTGCATGGCCACACCGGCTCCAGGCCGGCGGGAAGCTGGGAGGGGGAAGGGCCGCCGGGTTGGCGGGCACCCTGGCCTTGCTGCCTCCTCTGCTGTGGGCGCTGCCACCCAGCTGGGGCTGCCTCTGTCCCATTCGTGGCCCCGGAGAGGCAGGGCTGCATTTCACCAAAAGGCTCTGTCACCATCACCTCTTCCAGGGCCCGGGCACCTGAGACCCGCAGAGGGGGCCCCTGACAGCGGTCACACGGTGATAGGGTCCCTGCAGCTCAGAGGACACGTCCCTCCTTTAGCTAAGGGACTCAATCCAGGACCAGAAGACTGCACAGGAGAGGGATCACGTGATGCACACGCACACACGTGTGTGCCATGGCATCTGCTCGCCAAGCCCACCGGCCAGGCGCCCCCAACAAGCCGGTGGTGGGCCACCCTGCCAACACCTTCACTGCGCAGAAGGGGACACCGAGGCCCAGAGGTGCAGGCTCCCCACAAGCCGGTGGTGGGCCACCCTGCCAACACCTTCACTGTGCAGAAGGGGACACCGAGGCCCAGAGGTGCAGGCTCCCCAACAAGCCGGTGGTGGGACACCCTGCCAACACCTTCACTGTGCAGAAGGGGACACCGAGGCCCAGAGGTGCAGGCTCCCCAACAAGCCGGTGGTGGGCCACCCTGCCAACACCTTCACTGTGCAGAAGGGGACACCGAGGCCCAGAGGTGCAGGCTCCCCAACAAGCCGGTGGTGGGCCACCCTGCCAACACCTTCACTGCGCAGAAGGGGACACCGAGGCCCAGAGGTGCAGGCGTTTGCCCAGTGGTGACGGGCTCTCCTCTGCAGCAGACACGTGTGGGGCCACGCCTGCCTCTGTGTGTGCACACACCTGCGCGCACACCTGCACACACCTGCGCACACCAGACACCGCCACAGCCGCACCCCAATCCCTCAGAGTCCAGAGACAGGGTGGGGGGCAGGAAGCGGAGGGAGAGGGGAAACAGGGAGGTGGGGGCAATGTCACCCCAGGTAGAGGCCAGGTCCCCCCCAGACTGTGAACCCCCAAGCCTGGGGCCTGCCTCCCCCCAGACCAGGAGGCACCAAGCCCTGCACCACGCGCTCCAGCCAAGCGGCCGGGCTCAGCCTGCAGGGGCCGCCCCCTTCGCCCCGACGCTGTGGAGTCCCTGCGGCTGCTGTGCTCACAGGCCCCGCCACCACCCGACAGACTGTCGTCCGCGGCATCCCTCCTTAGCCCAGGGGGGTCCCGTGGGCCCCGGGCCAGAGGCCCCGCTCCCCACGGCCCGCCAGCCCAGGCTGCCCCCACGGCTCTGCGGGCACGGCTGCCTGTGTGCAGCTGATTCCCCCGCGAGGCCCAGGCTTCGCCGAGGTGGGCCGTGCACAGGCCAGTCAGTGCTCACCCTCTAAGCTCCCGGCCAGGGTACTCCGGGGTGCCGCCTACCCCCCTTGCCCTGGGCTGCTGTGCTGCCCTGATACCCATGGCCAACAGCGCCACCACCACCAGGAAGCCCTCCTCGCAGCTGTGTGCCCAGAACAGCAGAGAGGAGCTGTGCCTTGGGACGTACCCAGGGGGCGGGGCAGTGCCTAGCACCCACTATGGGCGGCATGACCGGTGTGGGGGCGGGGGCGTGCCTCCTGACCCCTCTGGGCCACTGTCCTGGGAGACTGTAGAGCCCCCTGCAGGGCTTGCCCGATGCCCGAGGCGGGGAGGTGCCTCTTCTGGGCAACCAGAGGGCCCTGCACCTCCCCTAAGTCACAGTGGAGGGCCTGCCTGGCTATGACGCTCACTTTCAATGAAGGATACCCACAGCTCACGGCTGTAGGCCCAGTGCCCAGCGTGGTGCCCAGTGTGCTGCCAGGCACCAGGGTGGTGAGCTCGGCGAGTCAGATCTCGGCAACAGTCCCAGCTGCGCTGCCCTGCAGGAGCCTGAGCCGCGTGCCGGGGTACCTCTCCCCTGCACAGTGCTGCAGCCCTCGGCCAGGCTCCCCCGTCCACGCCCACCACACACGTGCCCGTGCGTCCATCCTCAGGAACACGACTGTGTCCGACCACTTCCCGCAAGTCCTGTCTGACTGCACGGGGCGCCCAGGGGCCGGGGCCGGGCACACACTCCCTCGGCGGCCCAAGAAAGCAGCTCTGGCCCTGCCGGGTCTGGCTAGCGGCTGGAGCGTGGGCCCACGGACCAGAGTCATGAGCTCCATCCCAGTCAAGGGCACGACCTCAGCCCCTGAGGGTCATGTGGGACGCAACCAGCCGATGTGTCCCTCTCGCATCAATGTTTCTCTCCCCCCGCCTCCCCGCCCGCTCGCCTTCTATGTGAAAATAAAATGGAAAAAGAAATATCCTCAGGTGAGGATTCAAAAAAACGAAATCAGCTCTGCACTGGGAGCCTGAGGCCGTCACCCGCATGTGACTGGACGGGCCCGGGACCCCCTGGGCCTCCTGCACAAGGAGTGCGGGCCGAGCACTGCACGGAACCTGCTCCGACCGGGGCCCAGTGGGCAGGGCCCAGCTCCCTGCTGGGGGTGCAGACCCGCTGCCCTGGCCAGGTGTGCCAGCCGCGGGAGACGGGGCCGCAGAGACCCCCCATCACCACACTCCACGCCCCTGCAGCCACGGGGAGGAAACCCTGCGGGACCCTGTGGCACAGCTGAGGTTTCGGTTTCTGAACAAGAACAACTGGGGCTGAGAAGGAGGAGGATGGAGAGAAACCACAGCCACCACAAGAGGACAGTCAGGAGCCGGTGGGGAGGAGATGGACACACGCCAGCCACGCCTGGGCCACGGGAGCAGCCACAGTGAAGAAGGGAACAGACTTCAAGACCCCAACTTCACGGGGCCCACCCCTGCGCCTGCATGGAAGCTGACCTCGGGGAGAGTCACTCAGAGTGCAGGGGTCACCAAACCCATAGATGGGGAAACCGAGGCACGGACAGCAAGTAGCTAGGAGGAGACCACACTGCAAACCGGGTGAGGGCTTGGACCCAGGTCTGGCTGCACCACTTGACAATTTCAGTGACCCTAAGGAGTGACCTTCGTGAGACTTGTCCACACCCACCCTTGACGAATGTCAATAAAACGGGCTCACGAATCCCAGGCCAAGCAGCCGGCAGCCGGAGCCCCGCTGCCCCCAGGACCTGCCGCTGGGAGTCACCTGCCCGGTCTGCAGGGGGAAGAGGGCAGACGGGCCCCGGCATCCGGCGGGCGTGGGGACACCCGAAGGCCTCTGGAGTTCCCTACACCCTCAATCAGCACTGTCCCCAAAGTTGCCTCCTCGACTGTCTCCTTACTGGACAGCAGGAACACGACCCCGCGACCCATGCGCACCCGCTGTCCCAGCCTCAGTCCATCCCGCCCCCACCTCCCACCTCCAGCCATGGCCTCACTGTCCTGCCTCCGCCTGTCTCCCTGCAGCCAGTGCTGGGCCCAGGGCACAGCGACCACAGGGAGGGTCTGAGCAGCGACCGTCCCCAGCGGCACTGAGACCACTGGCCTGAGGCTGCTCTCCTGGCCCGAGCCTGGCACACAGCAGGCGCTCAGCGGGGGTCTGCTGAGTGACACCAGCGGCCAGCGCAGGAGCGAGCCTCCCGTCGTCAGAGGCACGCGAGCAGCCGCGGAGCCTACCTTCGCGCTTCATGCCCATGGCCAGGCACTTCTGGTAGCGGCAGTACTGGCAGCGGTTGCGCTGCCGCTTGTCGATCAGGCAGTCCTTGTTGTCCCGGCAGGTGTAGGTCAGGTCCTTGCGCACCGTCCGCTTGAAGAAGCCCTTGCAGCCCTCACAGCTGTACACGCCGTAGTGCTTGCCTGTGGGCGCGGGCGCGGGCGTGAGCTCCTGCGCCCCGCGGCCCGGTCCCCACGGCCCCACAGAGCGCAGCCCCCGCCGGGGGCCATCGGGGTGCGGAGGTTGACGTGAGGGGCCCTGGGCCCACGGCTCAGCCCCGACGACCAGGGCCTGTGCTGCGGCCCCTGACACCACACTGCCGCCAACGGCTGCCTCCTCTCGCGAAGCCTCCGGACCCCCTGCCCACTGGGGGCTCCCCGACTTACTGTCTCCCCGACGTGAAAACCCCAGAAGGGCCCCTGTGAAAGGCCCGGAGCTCCGTGCACCGCCCCCCGGCTCGCAGGCTCCTGCCTCCCCGCACCCGCCCGGACCCGCGGCCCCTGCGCAGGCGGCCTACCTGAGGAGCGGTCCCCGCAGATGGCACAGATGTGTTTGGTGAAGGACGCCATGTTCCCTGAGGGGTGGGCCGGGACTTTGAGGACGCCATTGATGCCCAGTGGGGGCTTGATGTCCTCGGTGCTGCTGACGGGGTTCATGGGCGAGTTGAGCTGAGGAGGGACACCAGGCTCAGCCCTGGCAGGTGCTGGGACCCAAGGCCAGCATCCCCCCAACAGTCCTGCAGCAAGGGAGGCACTGCCACACCCCACTATACAGAGAGAAACTGAGGCTCAGAGGGGCCCTGCCCGCCCAGGCCACAGCTGGGGGACAGCAGGGCCACACCCCACGGATCCCAGCGAATGCCTGCCCCCAAGCTGCTGGGCCAGGCTGGCAGAGGCTGCCCTGCCCTCGGGGCTCAGCAGGGGACCCCGCCAAGGCCCTGCTGAGCCCCGTACTGGGCACTCATTAGTCAGGACAGTGTGAGCTCCATGACCCCACCGGTGAGCCAGGCGCTTTGGGGATCCCTAACACACAGGGGGCACTGAGGCCCGGCCACAGCACGGAGTGGAGAGAGCTGGGGTCCACCCATAGGCCCCACTGCCTGGGTCTTGGGGGGCAGGGCAGGACCTCCGGTCACATGTCTTAGGAGGACGGAGACACCCGGGCCATCCACGGAGAGGGACACGTCCCTCTCCACGCAGCCTTCCGCCCTGCACGGCAGCTGACGCACACCAGGGGGAGCGTGGGAAACTCACTGTCGCCCTGGCAACAGCTGCCGAGGCTGCAATGACACGGCAGTTTTGGTTCCGCTGTGTCCGCCCGGCTCTCCCGTCAGCACCAAGGGCCCAGAAGTGCTGCCGCTGCACCCTGCCCGTCTCCCCCGGCGCCAGGACCCGGCTAGGCAGCCCCCAGCACCCCCACTTCTGCAAACCCCTGACAAAGGCGGAATCAAGCTGTGCAGATGTCTCTGGGGATGGCAGCAGTGGCTGCTGCCCCCTGGTAGCCCCAGGCCCCCCGGCACAGGAACCTCACCCCTTCCTTCCCCATGGCCCCCGGCCCCCACCCCCTTTCTCACAGGACAGGAAGGGCTCGGTGCTCGAAGCACACACAGCAGAAAGCACCCCAAAGGGTGTTTCACAGGCCCCCGGTCCCTAGCCCTGGCCACTCGGGGTCCTTCCTCTGCGCAGGTGGGCTGGGGGGCGCTGTGAGGACACAGGCTCCCAAAGGACTCGGGTGGGCGGCAGGCGGCCAGGAGGCCAGCAGCGGCCATTCGGCTGTCAGGACACAGGAGCCCATGCGGGCGAGCGTCCGGGGCCCCACTGCACGGCAGCCTGTGCGACCCGCGCGCTGTCTGCGGGCGGCGGGAATGTGCCCCAGGTGACGGGACCGAGAAGACGCTCGGCCGAGAGGTGGTGCCAGCCGTGCACAGAGAGCTCCTGGGCCGGGCTGGGCGGCTGGGCCGCGTGGACAGGGCAGCTCGGAGAGGGGACGGCGGCGGGCACACAGCCTCGGTGCAGAGCAGGGCGCGGGCGGGGCCCCAGGGTCAGCAGGTGGTGACCACGGAGGGGGTCCAGTTGGCTGCAGCAGGGATAGCGGAGGCCCTGAGAGACAGGCTGCCTCTGGGTGACCCACCTACGCCCGCACAGCTGGCCACCATGCGGGGCGGGGGCGGCCACGGTGTGCCCTCTGGTCTGCCGCCCCCACCACGGAGTGACTGGGGAGGGCCCTGCTCCAAGCCCGGTCTGAGGGCCTCGGAGTAGCTCAGCTGGCCTGTGGGCCGCACCCACAGAACCCGGCTTGGTGCACCCAGGGGAGAGGCCGACTTGGACAGCTGAGGGTGGGCATCCTAGGCAGAGGGGCTGTCGGACCAAACACGGGGGAGTGGGGGAACCAGGGGCCAAGGGCAGACCCCAGGGAGCCGACACGGGAGCCAGCGAGGACGTGTGAGGAGCCTCTCCCCGCAGCAGCCTTTCCGGGGGCCCGGCACCACGCCAAGGCCAGGTCAGCCTGGGGTCCCAAGGAAAAGAACGTGAACACGTCCTCCTTCCGTGCTTGCTCAGACCACACTGGGCAGCCCACCATGTGCAGGGCCTGCCCTAGGTAAACCGAGGCACAGCCTGGAGGAAGGCCGGCCAGGGTCCCGCCAGGGAGGAGCAGCAGGCGGTGCCATGGCCACCCTGCCCCAGGCCGTGGGCTGCACGCCCCGGCCCGCCTGGGCCCCGTCTCCCCTGGGCACAGTTGGCGGGAGCTGGGAGGCCCTCGGGGACCTCACCTGGGTGGGGCTGAGTCTGGGTGGGAGCCCCGCTCCGCAGGCCCCAGGCCACCCACTTGGCTTTTTCCCCTCTTTATCCTGAAGGCACGTTTAGAGAAAGGGAAGGAGGGACAGAGGGGGAGAGAAACATCAATTAGTTGCCTTTCGAACCCGCAACCCAGACATGTGCCCTGACTGGGGATCGAACCAGCAACCCACCGGTACACAGAATGACGCTCGACCGACCAAGCCCCTCCAACCAGGTATCCACTTCGCGTCTCGTCTCAGCTGCGGGGTGTCCGCACAAGGCCACAGGCCAGGCTGCCCGGGGCCAGCGGGCCCCCCTCCCCCTTCTCAGAGCCGAGCTGCGAGGCCTCGAGCGGGGCTCCCAGCTCCCAGAACGGAGCCCGTCGGCCCCGGGGCCCCGTTTAGTCACACACACACACCCCCGCCTCCGGGGATGCTGCCCTCCTGCTCTCTGCCCAGGACACCCACTGCCCACTGCTGGAGCCTGCAGACTCCCCGCGGCCAGGGTGGGGCCCGGCCCGTTTCCCCTTTCACATCCTGGGCCTTCATCTCAGTTCCCGCTGGAGCTGATGGAACTTGCTAGAACCACCACCCACCCCACCAACGCCCCACCCGGGCTCCTGCCCATCTCTCCCGGCCCTCTCCTCCACACCCACCACGCCCTCCTTCCCGATGGCACGGCAGCCCCCCACCAGCCCGAGTCGGGGAGGCCCTCGCCCAGGGCAGAACTGAGTGGCACGCTCCGGGCTCACCGTGCACCCAGAGCAGGCTTGGCCTCCATCTGCCATCGGAGCAGAAGCCGACCCCACAAGGTGCACTGGCCACATGTGGACACCAAGTCACTGCAGCCTCAGGCCACCCCCGGGCAGGTCCTGGACCAGGGAGGCTGTGCTGAGCTGGCGAGGCCAGGACACATGCTGCCCACGCTGTGCCCGAGCTCTAGGACGTGGTGGGCGCTCCCTGGGTCCTAAGTGGGTGAAGCCCCAGGGTCCACAGTGTGTCCTGCTCTGCCCAGACGCCCACATCCATGGCCCCGCGGGCAGGGCCCTGTGGGGCACGGGGACTGGGCGGCCCTCCCTGCCGGGCCCGGGCAGGCGGAGCGCCAGGCTCCTGACAGCAGGAGACAGAGAAGGGCACTGGTTCCGGAAACTGACTTCGAGGTTGTGGTTTTGGAGCAGAGGGTGGGGCACGCCTCCTGAACTCCACCCACACTCCCATGAATAAGGGGAACCCCAGGTTTCCAAGACAAACTGCTAACGCTGGGAAGTCACACTCAGCTGCCCGGGAAGGAGCGAGGGGGGCAGAGGGGGGCCGGGGCCGAGGGACCAGGCCAGAGGCGAGCACAGGGCTCGGACCATGGCGAGACCAAGGCAGCCCGACCACCTACAAACAGACCCACGGCTGGCAGCAATAAACACTGGCACAGTCCCACCCTTCCCCTCCAGGCTCACGCGTGCCTGGATCCCCATCAACTGAAAGGGACTGGCCCTCGCTCACAAGCCACCTGGACACGCAAGACCCACCTGCAGGATCCCGGCCGTGTGCAGACTGCAGGGCAGAACGGATGTGGCCACCTCGTACCTGCCCCAGATGGGCCACTGGGGCCAGGCACCGGAGCTCTGAGGGTAACCCTACCGCCCTCGGGCCAGCCCCTGTGCAGCCCGCTGCAGGCTCCTGCCGGGCACGAGCCCTGGGCTGGCCTCTAGGACAGGCCGCAGGCCTACCAGCAGCAGCGGGGCTCCGAGGGCCGCCGGAGCCGCTGTCCAGCTCCCGTTCCCACCTGCCTGCCCGCGGCACGCACCGCAGCAGGACGGCGCCCTCGCCCCAGGCCTCGGGCCTTCTGCCAGCTTCTGGACGGCCAGGGGACGGGAGGGGCGCAGGGAGCCCTGCACTGATGCCTGAGGCCCTGCCCTCTGCACCCGTCCCAGGGGCAGGGGGCAACCAGTCACCCTGGGACGCCAGTGAGCTTCTGCAGCACGGCCACCTAGGCGGGCCCAGCAAACGGGCAGCGCGATGACCACGCCTCGCTGGCGCCGTCCTCCTGGGCCAGGAGCGGAGCTGCCCTGCAGGGGGTGTGGCTCCATGGCCAGCCGGGGCCTGGGACTCCACAGGGCACAGGGCCGACACCTCGGGGCAAGGAGCCGCACTTGGAGCCCAGCCCCGGGGGGCTGTCCTGGCCACAAGGACACGGCCCGAAACCTCCACACCTGGGGAACAAGCGGCCGGACCCGAACTTGGACACAGAGAGCAGAGAGGGAGCCCAGCTGTTCCAGGAAGGACGGCAGGAGCCCAGAGAGGGGTGCCGCCGGGGTGCCTCCCAGCTGGGCCCTGTGCCCACAGCCCAGGGATCCAGGGACTCGAGAACTCAGTGGGGTTGTCCAGGGGAAGGGTCCCCAAAGCAAGAACTGGACTGAGCCAGGCCCCGAGAGGCACCAGCCACTTCCTTATCCAGAGACAACCCTGAAGCCAGACGGGTCCGAAGCAGCCTGAGCGAGCGGGGGCCTGGGGGGCCAGCAAGCCTGGAGGCAGGCGGCGGCCAGCGTGGGCTGAGGCCGGGCATCCCGGGGCGTGTCTGCACGGAGCCCGTGGGGTCTGAGCAGGAGGGGAGGGGCCGCTGAGAGGACACGGCTCAGGGAGGGGGGTTTGCCTCAGGAACTCGGGGTCCACACCCTGCAAAGCTCCAACAGGAAGGGGCCACGCGTGTGGAAGACCAGCTCCAAGAAAGCTCTAGTGGCCTCGGGGCCACGGGCTCAGGAGTCAGCCAGACAGCCAGGCTCGGACCCAGGCCAGGCCGCCTGTCGGAGGCTCTGCTTCCCAGGGATGAGGGCAGACACGAGGGTGGCGCACAGGCCCCGCCCTCCACTTACCTGAGGGCTGCCGGTGCCGAAGCCCAGGGTGGGTGTGGTGGGCACAGACATGGAGTGGGGGCCCATGGGGGAGCTGATGACGGAGAAGGGCGGGCCCATGCCGTTGATGGGCGAGTGCAGCTGTCCCGGGGAGCCGAGCGAGGAGCCAATGCCGGGCCCCAGGGAGGGGTGCAGCGAGGGGGCAGCCATGGAGCCGCGCCCTGTGGGGGAGTTGAGGGACGAGGAGTTCACCTGGGTGGAGAAGTCTGCAAGACAAGAATCACAGGCGGGGGGGTCACTGGCCTGCACCCCCTGGGCCAGAGACCTCAGGAGGCCACAAAATGGGGAGAAACAGCCCAGGGCAAGGCCCCAGGCACCCCCATCCTGGTGGCTCCTGACAGAACCCCAACCACACAGGCCAGGCCAGGCAGTGGTGCCCCCGTTCCCTCCAAGGCACCGCCCTGACCCGGCTGCAGCTTCGGGCTCAGGTGGCCCCGGGCAGCTGTCGAAGCAGAGGCTGACAGCCCCGTCAGGGTGTCCCAGGACCCCTACCCGGGCAAGACGGCCAGACGGCTGCCCCAAACCCTCAACACCCTAGACCTGTCCACCCAGAATGCCCAGCAGCCAGGAGAGCCACCCCTCTGCCATGGGCTCAGGGGTCAAGGTGGAAGTCTGGGGCAAATCGAGAAGAGCTGAAGGCTGGCGCTTTGGGGGAGTCCGCCACGGAGCAGAACCAGGTCCTGTTCCCAGTGCGGACGGAGCTTGAGAATGGAGGGAGGTGGGTGGGGGGTATTACTATCACCCCATTTCACAGCTGGGGAATCGAGGACCTGTATTCCTACACCTGCCCTGGCAGGGGGCAGCCACCCCCAGTCTCTGGCCCCAGACACCAGGCAGCACCGTCTGAGCCTGCCCCCGTGCCCCACAGCAGTGGCATGGCCCAGACCCCAGGGCACTGACCCCTGGGCCCAGAAAGGTGCACAGTTCCTGTGTGTCCAGGCCGGGAGAAGTCCACACGGCCAGGGGCGGGGAGCTGCTGGGGGGCCTGGTGGGGGGACCCCGCTGTCTGCCAGCCTGCAGTCAGGCAGCCCACAGAGACGGTGGGAGGCTGGACTTCCCAACACTAGCCTTTCATCTCGGGGATTTCAAAGCCCCAGCACCTCCGGCCACCAAGGGCTCAGCAGGCAGGGGCGGCCCGGCAAGGCTCCCAGGCTGAGCCCACAGCCCTGGGCCTGGGCGGGCAAGGCGCACCCCTCTGGCCTCAGCCTCCCCATCTGCACAGGAGCTCCGAGGCCCTTCCCACTCAGCCCACAGTGGCCACGCTGGCTTCTGAGGAGTCCCCAGGGCCATGGCACAATGGAGGGCCCCCATCCACACCCCAGGTCGTCCACACCCCCAGGTCGTCCACACCCCCCAGGTCATCCACACCCCAGGTCGTCCACACACCCCCAGGTCGTCCACACCCCCCAGGTTGGGGCACACCCCCAAGGTCGTCCACACCCCCCCAGGTTGGGGCACACCCCCAGGTCATCCACAACGCCCCCCCAGGTTGTCCACATGCCCCCAGGTCGTCCACATATCCCCAGGCCATCCACACCCCCAGGTCGTCCACACACCCCCAGGTCGGGGCACCCCCCCAGGTCATCCACAACACCCCCCCCAGGTCATCCACACACCCCCAGATTGGGGCACCCCCCCCAGGTCATCCACACACCCCCCCAGGTCGTCCACACACTCCCAGGTTGGGGCACCCCCCCAGGTCATCCACAATGCCCCACCAGGTCGTCCACATCCCCCAGTTCATCCACATGCCCCCCCAGGTCACCCACACCCCCCAGGCCATCCACACCCCAGGGCGTCCATGCCCCAGGGCGTCCACACCAGGTCAGGCACCCCCAGCAGCCAGGCCACCACTGAGGCCCCAGGTGACCGGCTCCAGCCCTCAAAGCAGCCACATGCTGTTTCCTGAAAGCCAGGCCCAGAGCAGAATCCCCGTGTGCGCCTCGTCCCCAGGTCCTGTTGGCATCAGTCACCGGTGCCAACCGAGTGTCGGGGGACGTGCCCCGTCCTGCTTCAGGGCACCACTGCCCCCCGCACATCCGCCTGCAGCCGCAGCCACAGCTGCAGCGCTCACGGCCTCTGGACGGTGCGTGAAGGTGGTCCCACCTCCAGAAGCAGGCGCCAGTCTGACCTGCAGCCCGGCCTGCGGGCACTCCTCCCTTGCTTCCCCTCCGAGGGAGGAAGGGGGCCTGGAATCTCTCTCCGGCCAGGGTGGCGGCCCGCCTGCCACTGTTCCGTCTGCCACCACCGCAAACAAGCCGGCCGGCCCGAAGTTGGGAATAAACCACGTCCTGGACGGGAGACAACGCTGACGGAAGGCCGGAGGCTCGGGGCACTTGAAGGTGGGTCACGTGACCGGCCCATCAGCCGCACAACTCCCTGGACCACATGTGGACAGGAGGCCACCGCCAGGGCCACCCAGGGCAGACAGACACTAAAAGGTGCCCACGTGAGTCTGTGAGGCACCTGCATGTCCGTCATCTCACCGTGACAGACGAGGAGACGGGCACTGGGAAGGCACGCTCCCAGAAACCTACGGCTGCCCCGAGGCCAGGCCACCTCTGTTATGCCCCAGGCCACTGCTGGGACACTGGGTGTGCCCACTTCACCCAGCCTGCACCCACCACCTGGGTTAGGAACCCGGAGCCAGCTGCGCCCAGTCTGGGCCTCAGGCTCCCGTCTGTGCAGACGGGCAGGCTGGGCCAACCACCGGCCCTCCGCGTTCCCGGGTCCAGAAGCGCCCTGCTGACTCCCAGGGGCAGGGGAAGGAGAGCAGGGTGGACTACGTAGGGTCCGTTTCGCAGATATGACCAGAGCCAAACTGAGGGGCTAAGGCAACCAGTGGGGGTATCTGGGGAAGGCGGGACCTGGCGGGGGATCCCAACCCCAGGAGGACGTCCAGGAGCCCAAGGGCCTGGCTGCCCTGAGGGAAGGTGCCCAGCTCTCTTCCAGCCCCTGGGACAGAGACGGCCCAGGGAGAAGTCGCTGCTGACCCTCCCAGCTTCCCACCTCTCTCCACCCTCTGCCGGGGGAATCCTGGGGGCCCTGGGGGGCTGCTGTCTTGCCAGGAGGGCCTCTGCTGCTGGCTGCCCATCTGACAGGGAGTGCGCTGGCCAGGGAGGGGACATCCCGGCCACAGGGCTGCAGGAGCTCCTCCGTCCAGCAGAGCCCGCCGGACCTGAGCTGGTGAGCTGCTCCGGGAGGAAGGGGAGGGAGGAGCAGGAGAAAGCTCGGCCAGAAGGAGGGAGGCGGAGGGAGGTGACGGCCAGCTGCCAGGCTGCACCCCAAAGCTCTGCCAGTCCCCAAGGCACCATCGCACCAAGCCCCAGTCAGGACTCGGGGAGGAGGAGCTGAGGAGATGGAAGGGAACCTCAGGAGAGGAAAGACAGGCGCAGGAGGGGTTCTGGGGGGGGGCCCGGCCGCTGGCTGGCGCTGTCCACCTCCACGAGGGGGCTGGCTCCTCAGGCTTCTCCCCACTGTCTGCACCCTGAGTCAAGGGCACAGCAGTTATTCACACAGGCTGTGTGAGCCCCCGGGTCGGGGGGGGGGGCACCCCCAAGGCCTGCCCAGGCTGTCCCCAGGCCCCACGGGCGCTTCCTGTTTACACACAGACACCTCCCAGCCTGGGCGACAATGGCTGGGTGTGTTTTCTGGAGTCTTCTGGAGAGACACTGGCCAGGAAGCCAGTGTCAGAAAGAAAGGCAACCCTGCCCAACCCCCGCCGCAGAGGCCTGCCCACCGCCCTGGGCTGCTGGCTCCGCCTCCTCCCAGCCACCACCTGTCCCCACCCACCGATAAGCCCGCTCTGATAAGAGGATGAGAAGATAAGGTTCTTCTGAAAAGTCATACTTTGGACTTGCAGGAAACGTCACCATGCACTTATCTGATTTCCCCTCAATGAGGCTGCAGGACTCCAGGCCCAGAGCCCCAGACCCAGTCACGAGAGCGCGCGGGGCGCAAAGGGGCCTCTGATGGAGGGCAACACCCAGCCTGGGCCTCACTGGGCCCCAAACCCCAGCACCTCGCACCCCTCACGCCCACCACGCCCCCTCTGAGACTGTCAGCAACGAGTGGGACTCGGGGGAAGGAGGCCAGAGCCTGGGAATGCAAAGGACCTCCTGAGAGACACCAGCCCTGCAGCAGAGGGGACGCCTGCAACCCTCTCATAGGGCTGCCAGTCAGTCCAGGAAGGCAGCATGGAAGAGGTGGCAGGCAGATCTCTCTCTCAGCACAAGAAGCATTTCAGGCCATAAAACTGACTCTAAAAGCGAAACACGCGGAGCAGAGAGCTGGACTGGCCGGAACGAGCAGGCTAGAGCAGCTCCCAGGGCCCAAGCTGAGGGTGAACCCTCCATCTGGTAAACTTAAAACGCAGAAGTTCTCGTGCTGACCAACAATGGCACGGCTGCTTCTGAGGTGGTGAGCTCCCCGTGGCAGCTGCATGCAAGCAGAAACTACAACCACCTCTCGGGAACAGCGGAGCAGGTGGCTCCTGAGTACCTTTGAGGGAAGGGAGATCCTGACTGACCAACATTCCTGAGCTGCCCAGGCTCCCTCCAGAATGCTCCCCAGGACCCTCCTGGACCCCACAGCAGGAAGCCGGGGAACCCCCACCACCTCCTTTCCGGCCTCTGCCTGGCAGGCGGGGGCGGTGGGAAGGTGGCAGGAAATGCCAGCTTCATGCTGCCTAAGCGGGGGAGCCCCGGACTCAGCCCCTCCCTGCAGGCAAGGCACCACCAGGTCTTAGAAAGGGGACCTCAGAGCCCAGGCCCTTCTGAGTCTGCAGGAGCCCTCGGGCAGCAGGGTCTGAGTGGACCACAGGCGGGCACAGGAGAGGGCCCGGGCTCTGTGGGCAGGGAGCCCAGGGCCAGCAAGGGATGGACAGGGGTCCAAATAAGGGGCAGTGGAGGGGTCCCATGGGACTCAGTAGGCCAGGGGCTTCAAGGAGGGGCATGAGGAGGGCATGGAGGTAGACAGGGTGCCCAGGTGGGGAGCCCAGGCAGGGAGAGGGCACAGGGGGAAGAAAGACCCTGCGGTGAGCCAGCACCAAGACAAGGTCAGGCTCCGAACACGAGCGCCCGTCCCCCACCCTGCAACGCTGTGCCCCCCCGGAGACCCCAGATGGAAACCCTGCAGGGAGGAGCCCCCCCGGATGCCCACTGCCAGCCCCGCCTTCCGGAAGGACTGCTTCCCCTGCGCCCAGAGG